GGCACGTTTCCCGCCCTTTGATATCCTGGCGGATATGGACGCGAGGGTAACTATGACCAGACCAGACAGAACGCTCAACGACAGGCACTGGTGCAGTGGCGGCTGGAATAGCCGCGGAATGCACGCCTGTGCTGTGCTGTTTTGCCTAACCTCGAAGCTTGGGTAGGAAGGGAGGGAGGTAGCGTCACCTACCGACTGACGTAGATACTCACTGGGCATGGTTGCTTCGGTGAGTACCTGAATCGTATCGACGAGACGGAACAATGCCAGCACTGCGCAGCTGACTCTGACTAAGCCCAGCACACGCTGGAAGACTGCTCCGCGTGAGCGTCTGAACTCGAAGTCCTGGTCGACCAAATCGGACGAGACCTGTCCCCGCCAGCAATCATTGCTGCCATGTTGGCGGGTGAGGATGGATGGGGCGCAGTGGTCTCTTTCTGTGAAGCTGTAATGCTCCAGAAAGAGACCGCTGAACGGGATCGGGAAAGGACCGCTACCGAGCGTAGAGGACGTCGGTGACGATACCAGCCGCCGACGGGGCCGCGGCCGCCAGAGAGTGTAGACCTAAAAAAAAAAAAAAAAAAAAAAAAAAAAAAAAAAAAAAAAAGTACCTGCCTAGTTTGGGATCAGACGGCCGTGTGTGAAATTATTATATTATATTATCATTTCATTTATCACTAATTTCATACATTATTATTTATAATTGGATTCTATTGTATTATAGAATCTAATTTTGACATTAAAATAATATCAATAGATAAATGTAAATGACTACACAAAATAGGTTTGAAACCTACCTATCAATACAATATGAATCTAAAATGCAGATCGAAGATTAAAAATATCATATACTTGATTCTGTCAATACTTCCTCAATAACAGTCTATTAAGTGTAACCACATACAGAAAATGAATAGAAATGGATATAAACAGGAACTAAGAACACATCAGGAAATGCGATGAACTGGAACTATCTTATAAGTTCTTAAGATGACTTTCAAAACATTCTGTTGCAACATTTTATACCTTATTTGTAGTGGAGTAATGTTCTACTTACAGTTTGTTTACATATTTATTACAATGTCATCGTAAACACCCAACGACTGTTTGTGGCAGGTGCTAGAAATGGATACCTACGTGATGAAAATATTTTATTATAATTCCACTAGAGGATAAATGTTTTGTATTTATAAAGAGTTTAATAGCAGAAGGTTCAATATTTCCGCTACTTTCCACCATGTACTATTTTTTTGTTGGTTTTCCTTTCTGAAAGTAGTTTCATAATTAAATTGTAACTTTAAGAGTGGACAACAGCTGAGGAAGCTTTATTCAGGGATAGTATAGTTTTCATCAGTATATTTCTATTAACTGATAATGGTTTAAACTAATTATCATCTACACCTTTCGGATGATTCGTTAGAATGGAAAATCAAACAGGAGAGGCATGTCGTAGAAAAACATGTACAACATAAGCCAAATGATATTATGTCATTAAGAGTTGTGACTTAGGCATGTCTCAGGTCGAATCACAGCCGAAATAAATACATATCCGGTTCCAACACCATAGTTGAAAAGCTTGGTAGAAGACTTGCAATTTCTGAAGAATTCTATTTTTCACAGGTCATTATAGCGTTGTAGATCGGCGCAGGCATATAAGAAAGTTTCGATACCTACGTATATATTTAGTTTGCTAAATATTTTACAAAATAGAGATTGTTGCTATTGTGTGTGTTGATCTATGACTTTAGATTCTACACAAGAGATTTAAAAAAAAATGTTATGAAGATATTCTGAGTTTGAGTTTTATATTATTTCTATTAAATTCTCTATTAAAAATTCGTTTTATCTCTATCTGAAGGGATTTTTATCAAACTGCAATTAATTTTAAATAATCCGTTGATATAAAATGTAAGTGGCAAAAAAAATGTTTCGTAACATATAAAGAGGTCGAGGCCTTTACGTAAATATTATTTGTTTCCTCGACTTTAGTATTCAATGTGCTCCGCGGACGACCCTACAAACTGCTTTACGTGGTATGTTTATTACCTAATAATTATCTTCACACCTTACTTATGAATACTCTATCTGCTTACATAGTGTTAAGAGTTTATAAGCATCGAACAAGCAAAAAACAAGTCAATAAGCATCGATTTCATCATTCGATTTTATGTTTATTAATCTCAATCATAGATTTTAACCACTAATAATTTTGATAACTTTTTATGATTAAAGGATAAGCTTTTTATGGGACTAAATATAAATGATATTTTATTTTTTATTAGCATTATACAACTTTGTATGAGATTGTCCCAAAAGTCCTAACTACTTTTTACAAAATTTATTCAGTAAGTTTAGGATTACTTTTCTCACGATTTTTAGTTCAAAGTTTTGATATCATATAAAATTGTATAATGAACACTTTAACACTTCTAATAATTCAAAATCAATATTGCTTAATTTCAAGCAAAATCAGAAAACACAATACATAATGTGCCATCAACTTCTGATCGCTTTCCTCGTTTGCCCGGTCATCAACATACCCTGACTAGATGGCAAAGCACTTGAGTAAAGAACTTTCTAAATCAATCGACGATTAACAGGCAAATATCTCTTTAGATTTCATAACGGACTCGTGATGCCACCAAATGACACCACCAGTAGTGTCAAGGGTATTTTTCAATCCCCATGACACAAAGCTGCATCAAAGTTGAGGATTGCTTTCAAATTAATATTTTTAATAAGTATGTAAAACTTTTAAAAAGTGGAGACTGTTCCTTAATCATTAAAAAAAAACAACCTTTAAATATAGAACTGCAATAAAACAAATCATTATAGCCAGGAAAAGAAAATTGAATGTCCGACAAAACGTTCAGTAAACGTTGAATTGTTGTGTTTTTCTTTGTTTGTTCAATCTAAAATGAAAATTTTCTGCAATATTCGTAGTACGATGAAGTTCGCCTAAAATGCTGAACACATTTGAGGAATGTACTTTCAATCAATAATTTTCTTTATATCTGAAAATTTTTGACAAATTGTCGTCTTGCCGGCATTTTCTTTCTTTGGAATGCTTCTCTGCTGACATTTATTTCATTAAATAATCAAATATATATCTTTATATCTATTAGATACTCATGATATTAAAAAAAACTGACAATACCGGTGGTGTCATGGGGATTGAATAATAACCTTGACACAACCGGTGGTGTCATGGGGACTAAAAAATACCCTAGACACTACCGGTGGTGTCATTGAGTGGTATCACGGTTCCGTGACGATAGATTTCGTTAATAACAGTACAATGTAGAACCTTATTTTTTGAAGTCTTTAGAATGTTTTTTTTTTTTGTTTTTTTTTTCAATTTAAAAATAAGATAGCGATGACAGTGTTACCGTATTTTGAAATTACCCAGATATTATAATAGGTGATTATCGAATAAAAATCAATATTAATGTGATAAAGACTGTCCTGCAGAAAGTGGGCTGTGACCCTGTTTGGTTTGACAATAAGGACGGAAACGGCCCGGAAAACAGCCGCTCGGAATTCTCAAACATTTCCAAGAACGTTCGGCGTTAGGCAGGGAGGGAGTTAGGGGTTTTGAAAGAAAAAAGTCAAAACCACCAAATTTTACAATGAAATGAAGGAATGCGTAAAAGAAGATGTCAAGTTTTTAAAGCTTATGTAAGAAAAAAAATACAATGCACCGACCCCAAATAAATTTGGGCAAAGGGTTGGAAGATGGTAGTGATGACAATATGTAATTACCGACCTATGTAAATATATCACGGCAGCGGTAACTGCATCCAAAAATAATATTATTGCAGCGTTATTCTATTCTATGAACAATCGTTGTCTCTGGCAAAGTTATTCAGGTTGAAGTCGCTTCTCCAACAACAACATTAATTCTAATGTTCAGTACTGCGAGCGTTTTAAGCCGTCAATCGTTTATATAAAAAAGTTGGTTTTCCACCATGATGCTAAAAATAGGTCTACTGTTCTACAATGAGGTACAAGGAAAACCTTTTAAATGACACGAAAGATTTATCTTTGTTATTGACGTACATCAATCAGTGAATCTACAGAGTGCAAGTGTGTGACCTCTAAGGCCAAAGTTGTGTAACAACTGATGCGTTAGGACTACTAAAATGTGTTTACCAATAATAAGTAAGGAAGTACCTCCATTGTTAATGTATGCCACTAAATTCTACTAAGAGGAAAAAATACAACGCGGTTTGGTGTTTTCTTTGCACTACAATGTACGTATGTAATTCATACATGAAGGGAACGAACATTATAAAACGTTGTATATCCTCTTTTATATTGTTGATGTTACATCGATGGCTGTATGTACAAACATAATGACCAAATATAGCACAGCAGTCGCACTTGACCGACCGATGTCAAAACTTGCACGACGCTTTCTCAAACCAAAACCACTACTACAATAACAGGATGACACTGTAAGCATAAAAAATTACTTACGATGCAAAGTTGACAAAGTAATTAATTTCATATACCGCTGTTGAGAACTGTAGATTATTTTCAACTCCTAACATTTACTTTTAATTAATTTAGTTGCTAGTTCCACTTATTATAGTTTTTTTACTTATATTTGTAATTATTTTTTAATTTTTAGTTCTCTTTGTCAGTATTGTTTGAAGTCGGTTGAACTTGGATTGGAAAATGGATTTATTTTATAATTTTTTGTGTTAGGTATGTTTGTAATTAATAGTTAAGTACGAAACTTTAAACACTACGTATTGTACTTTTTTTTATTACCAAACTGTAGTATATTAGATTATATTAAATATAATTTAATAAGGCGTTTATTTTATTTAGATAAGGTAAAATGTAACATGTAAGATGTTACATTTGAACCCGAAAATATATTGTTTTCCGCATTACTTTCCACCACTAGGAGTGAAATTTCTTCTTCACATTTGAATTTAATAAAGGGTAGATATATATATAATTTATAAAAAAAAATATTCCAAATCCAAAAGATGGTAATCCAAAAGATTACAGAACTGAAGGAGAGCAACATGGACAGCGTCAACATGTAAGTAAGACATGTAGCTACTGGAAGTGATAAGACGCGCCGCCATGTTAATTTGAAAGCTGTGAGTATTAGAGAAGATGTAGCGCCATTTAAAGATACGGAGTCAAAAACCCTAAAAATGGCGGAAACGAAGTGCCACCCCTTAAACAGACTGGCTCCAAAAATGGCCGCACATCTAATCAGCAACAGAAAGAAAAAAATTCTTATGGATTCTATACGGTCATGGAACGAATTTTCGGAATCCAAAAGCATTTACTCAGTCTTGGCAAACTTAAATGGGGATAAACCTCATTCGAAAATTTGGCACTCATTATGATAAACCATTTGAAACCGACTAAGACTATGGTAAGTTTATATATTTCGGCTTGAAGTTTATATTTTTTAGCTTGATGTATTTAATTATATTTTGTTTAAAAAGCATGGTACGCAGGCTCTATTTTTCGATTAATTACTTTAGCAAATGATCAAGTCGAATGGCCAAGGAAACGAATGAGGTCTTCTAGTACCCGCTAGAGTATCTTCGACTGCCTTGGTAGCATATGCGACTGCTGTACTGAGGTCTCAGGTTCGATTCCCGGGTCAGACCAAATGTTTGTAAGATCTGCGAATATTTGTTTCAGAGTTTAGGTGTATAATATGTATGTACTTATAAAAAAAAAGCTTATAAGTAGTCTAACAGTCAATCTAGCTTTCATAGTACAAGCTCTTTTGAGTTAAAAACTAGATGGCGTTGTGTGTCAGATGTTTGAAATGTTTATTTATTCATAAGTTTGACGATTTATTAAGCTAATTCTAATTTTCATCGAGATACAGTAGGTTACCATTCTCTATCTACGTGCAGTTTGTTTAGGGACTAGTAGTTTTTAAATTACAAATCTAAAAAATACATGCAATGCCAAAGGATATGTCAGATCTCGAAAAATTTAAAACTTTTAGCAAGTAATTTATCAAAACATGATATTTTTTTTTGCACAAGCACACTGTCGTCACTGTAATAATGATGGCACTGTTGGCGTAGTGGTTTAAGCGGTTACCTCGCCGCTTCCTACTGTACTCAGTGTTGTGGGTTCAAACTCCACATGGGACCACATTTTGTGTAATCCTCAAATTGTTGTTCTGAGTCTGGGTGTTCTTTGTGTCCATTTAGATTAGATCTTTGGATTCGATAGGTTTTCTCTCTCCCGGGGCTTTCTTTTTAGAGTGGCACTGATTAACCGGTTAACTGGTTTCTAGGCTACATTTTGATAAATACTGTTAAATTATTGACAACAATTTCAAATATGATTGCTATTAAAAAATAACTGTAGATAAAAACCAAACCAAATCAAAGTAAGCGCCTTATAAAGGAGCTCATTACAGCGGCTTTACCTTATCTACGTCTTCTGGGAAAGGCCTTCGCTATTTTTCCACTGAAAAATCAGTCAGTCCCCTGAAGTTACATCGCAGATACTAATTGGGGACTGGAAATTTTAATCCTGGAGGATCCTAAACGGAATGAGTTATTTAGTATTTAGCGTAGTAATTTATAGCAATTATAGTTATTATCTGGTCCGTCCGTTAATAGTTTCTGAAAAAGCAACTTTATTAATATGTACTAAAAATGCTTGTCGGAATTTTAATATCATAAGAAATACTTGCAAGCTTGTGAGTAGGTGTGTGTGCGATCAGTAAATCTATGATAAAAAACTTCACTATTTTTACGTTTTTCTCAGGCCTCGAAAGGGAAAGGAAGATTAGCGTAAAGACATCATACACATTCTAGTTGATCGCCTATCGATTTATTTAATTATGGTTGAAAAGATGTGCGATAGGTTAGGAACAAGTGATTTGGTAACTACAAGAATTTGCAGAGGGAAGCAGAGGTTCAGTATACTTACAACATCAGGTTTAGTTAGTTTTATTAATATTATCGAAAGTAACAACAATTTCTGATACCTTTTTAGATACGTGATTATATCAGAAAAAAGGAGAAGGAGGGAAGGGAGGGAAAGGGGAGAGCAAGGAAGAAACGAATTCTAATCAATATTGAATATGTTTGTATGTAAATAGACATGTAGGACCAAACTATCATAATATTTTCATGCAGATGAATTAATAGATAATTCGCAAGATATTGTTGATATAAGTACGTCCAATAAGTACGTCGCCATCACGCCAACACTGTTTTGTTTTGCTCCGTTAAAAATAATAGTGTATGTAAAGTAAATGTACGTGTTACTATAAGTGTTTTATACCACCTTAAAGCTACTGTAATTTGCTACACATTAGTGCTTGTATCGAGATTGGACCTTTCGTCGTTAGTGAGTATCAGGCAAAAACCTTTTTGAAGTAATCTCATATCGGCCGGGTAATCGACCTTGACAACCCGCCGCTGCCGAGCGGCGCACGCACACATCGACGATTCGCACCTTGTAACGGTCGCAGCGCTAGCGCTTTGTCGCTGTAAAGCGTAGGTCACTGGACGCACAATATTTATTTATTTTGTTCAGTAACATAAACTTCATAAAAAATGGCTCCAGTTGGCAATGGGTGTGCTGGATGTTTTAAGGTAGTGCCTAAAGAGTTTTTGGCTTGCTGCTTATGTAAGTTAAAATATGATTTAAGCTGTGCAAATGTCACCGAAAATCATTTTAAGGCAATGAAAAATGAACAAAAAAATGCATGGAAATGTCCAGAATGTCGTAACAAAATACCTAAAACTGACAATACGCATACGCCAGCACGTCCATGTACGATCAGTCCTGCTTCACAGGAAACTGGGTCACCTGAGAAAGCGAATGTGACGTTCAGGAAAAGGGCCACAGAAACAGTGCCTTGTACTGAGAGTGAGGACCAATATATCACTGAAAGTAAATTGCGAGATATTGTCAAGCAGGAGTTCAGCATTTGCTTGAGATCAGTGACTAATGAATTACATAATATTAATAACCAAATAGTCATGTTTCAAGAGTCAGTAGCTTTTTATAACAACTGCTATGAGGACATGAAGAAAAATCTTGAGGCTAAGGATGCCATAATAGATCAACTACAAGCGGATAATAAGCGCCTCCTCACTGATGTCGTCGATCTCACCTCCCGACTGACTATCGTGGAACAGCATATGCGCGACAGTAACTTGGAAATAAATGGTATACCGGAGCATCACAATGAAAACCTGGTCAATACATTCATCCATCTTACAAAAACCATTGGTAGTCCAGTTACTGATAGTGAAATTCTCCAGATTACCAGAGTCGCTAAAATGAATCAAAATGTGGAACGCCCACGTTCGGTGATCGCCAAACTTCGTACTCCTCGACAGCGGGACACTATCCTAGCTGCAGTGTTCAATTACAACAAAAAGAACCCTCAAGAGAAACTTAATTCTAGTCACTTGGGCATAGCAGGTAAATGCAGTCCGGTATACGTATCTGAACATCTTAGCCCAACTAATAAAAGATTGCACGCAGAAACGAGAAAGTTGGCGAAGCAGGTTTCTTATAAATTTGTTTGGGTTAGAAATGGTCGTATTTATGTTCGTAAAGATGAACAATCCCAGGCCATTTATATTCGAAACCAGGACTGCTTGAGTCGCATCAAGTAATATTGTCGTTCTGTCTTTGGTACAATTTGGTGTTACTTTATTGCAATGCTTGATTTATATTATCAGAATGTACGGGGAATACGTACCAAGACTGAAGATATTTATAACACTATTTTGTTGAACGATTTCAAAATGATTGCATTTACTGAGACTTGGCTCAATTCGAATATATCCAATTCTGAAATTATGGATCCCAGATATGTCGTTTATCGACGTGATCGTGATCTGCATGGTGACTCCAAAAAAGATGGGGGTGGTGTTCTCCTAGCGGTATCTAGTGTTTTTAAATCGACGAGACTGAAACGTTGGGAATCTAATGCGGAAGATTTGTGGGTGACTGTAGATATCGGTACTCAAAATAATGCCAAAAAGATGGCTATTTGTGTTGTATATCTTCCACCACCCATCAATTTGGATTCTCTTTGTGTATTTTTAAATAATGTCAGCAATGTTTTGAATTATGTAGGTGATGTAATTATCCTAGGGGATTTTAATTTAGGCTTTATCAACTGGACTCAAATCAATAATAAAACGCAATTAATGCCTTCAAATTATGATTGTTCCTTGGGATATGCACTTGTTGACTTCATTTCCTTTAATAATCTTTATCAATTTAATAATATAGAAAACTGTAACGGCAAAGTACTTGACCTGGTTCTAAGCAATAAGTCCAGCTTGATAGTATCTCAAGCAACTGACCTTATTAGTAAATTGGATTCGCATCATCCGAACCTCCTTATAACTATCCCAATTTCGGATTACGATGCTTTAAAACCCCAACCCCGAACTGGAAACAATTATTTTAAAGCAGATTATAGCAAGGTTCTGACAGAGCTCGGGTCCATAGACTGGAATCTTTCTTTTTCTGATAGTAATGATGTAAATGATATGACTTCAATATTTTACGATATATTACATAATGTTGTTGAGAAATATGTGCCAAAATATAGACGGAAGAAGCAAGTATATCCTCCTTGGTTTTCTACGACGCTTATAAAACTGTTACGTGAAAAAGAAAAACTAAGACAACGATTTCGTAGATACAATAATCCTCGTGATCGTCTAAGCTTCGAATTACTTCGTAGTCGCTGTAATAAAGTCTCAAATGCCTGCTATATAGAGTATAAACACAAAATTGAGGTTAATATTCAGAAAAATTCGAAAATGTTTTGGTCCCATATCAAAAATAAACGTATTGGGTTATCCACGCTCCCCACTCGTATGTACATGAAGGGGTCGGTCGCAGATACGGGTCGGGGTTTTGCAAACTTATTTGCTAGTTATTTTTCTTCTATATATAATGGCACAGGGCATGCTTGCTTAGCAAACTCTGAAATAGTCGAAACTTCAAACGGTATTGCTAGGGTACAATTTATTGAGGAGGAAGTAGCGAAGGCATTGAACAAGCTTGATGTTTCTAAGAGCCCTGGGCCAGATGGCATTCCGCCAATATTTATCAAGAAATGTAGCAGGTTTCTTGCATCTCCCCTATGCAAAATTTATAATAGCTCTCTTGAACATGGACAGTTTCCTGAGGTTTGGAAACGGGCTAGAATCGTTCCAGTTTATAAAAAGGACGATCCTTCTCAGGTTATAAACTATCGCCCCATCTCTTTACTTTCGTGTTTTGCAAAGATCTTCGAGTCTCTTTTATGTCCTATTATTACTCATCATTTGGATCCAATAATATCTGTTCATCAGCATGGGTTTAAAATTGGTCGAGGTGTACAATCAAACTTGGCCGAGTTTGTGAATGATATATCGCGTGCTCTTGACAGGGGACATGAAGTTGATGCGGTGTACACCGACTTCAGTAGTGCCTTTGACAAAGTCAATCACTCGCTGCTGCTGTCCAGATTGGAATCGGCTGGGGTGCATGGATCGCTTCTAAGGTGGTTTGAATCTTACTTGGCAAGGCGGTCCCTGGTTGTTGCTGTGAGTGGATACGAGTCACGGCCTTATTATGCCGCTTCGGGGGTGCCGCAGGGTTCTCACCTTGGTCCGTGTCTATTTTCACTCTTCATCAACACTATTACTGCTGAAATCACTAATAGCAAGTATTTACTTTTTGCTGATGACCTCAAATTATACAAAACTATATCATCCAGTGATGATATTTCCCACGTCCAAACAGACTTAAATAATATACAAAAATGGTGCGATAATAATTGCATGACCCTTAATGTTGGAAAATGCTGCCATATAAGGTTTACACGAAAGAAGCAACCTCATATGTCAAACTACCACATAAATGGTATCTCCCTTTCGAAGGCAAGCGAAGTACGAGATCTTGGAGTGATAATGGATGAAAAATTAAATTTCAGGAAGCATATTGATGAGGTCGTGACGAAGTCGGCTCAAATGTTAGGGTTCCTAAAACGTAATACAAAGGGCTTCAAATTCGTTCGAACTAAGATTATGTTATATAACGCCCTTGTGCGAAGCCGTCTAGAGTATGGTGACGTCACATGGCAGCCCTATTACGCTATTCATTCTCAACGAATAGAAAACATCCAACGAGCCTTCACTCGTCATATTGCCTACAATTCGCCTAATATATCTCCAAGATGCCCATACCGGGATCGGCTTACATTTTACGGAATGAACTCTCTTCGTGATAGACGACTGATGCATGGTTTAGTGTTTATCCACAGAGTGTTGCACAACAAAATTGATTGTGAATATTTGACTTCAAACATTACCATTAATGTACCCAGAAGATCTCCACGTAATCCTGTTTGCAATCTCCTTACTGTACCCTTATCCAAAACTAACCTTGGTCGAAACGCACCCCTAAGTAGAATGTGTAGGGATTTGAATTCGTTCCTCAAGACTGTGCCTGATGCTGATGTGTTTCATGACGGGGAGAACCAGTTTCGCGCAAAAATATGGGAATCATTTGGCAAACCTCGCAATGGGGACTGATAAGAATGTACTGATCGTTACTGCAACCACTAACTCACCAGACAAATAGAGTTAAGTTAAGTATGGAATACCTATATGTCAATGTGATTCTGTTAATATGTTGTCTAAACTGTGAATGCTGTGTTAGCTCGTAAGTGGCATGTATATCAGAACCTTATTACTAAGATTTTACCATTAATGTTACATATATGTGCTGTGAGTTAACCTAATAAATAAATAAATAAATAAATAAATAAATAGATATACGCGGTGTTTTGTGAAGGACTGTAAGATTTACTAAATTTACATGATTTAACATATTATGACAATATAGGTTTTAATATACATTTCTATCTAATTTAGTTTAACACTGTTTAACATATTCAATACTCATATTACTCATTCCTAATACAAGCAAGTTAGCTTAGCTGGAGGGGTTAATTCCCGCATCCCCCATCCCGCATTCCCGATGCGATGAAATAAATGAAAATAAAAAATATATGATATATGATATTAAGTTAGCGTCAACATTAATATCGAGCAATATATTGAGATTTATTTAGCCGTGGGAGAGCTAAACTTCTGCACAAATTGGTCGGCTCGACCGAAGTGAAACCAAGTCCTCACAAGAAACCAATGCAATGATAAGCAATTTTTTCGTTGCTTTTCACCGAATCAGAGAGGCTACCGAAGCCAGACCCCTCCCTCTGATTCTTGAGGAAGAACTCAAAAGGTGGTAACGTATATGTAACTCTGGAGTTGCAGATATTTATGGGTGACGGTAGTCACTCCCACGCGGTGACCCGTCTGCTCATTTACGCTTCTGTGCTATAAAAATTACATACATACTAGAAATTGGAAGCCAACCAGTTGGTTATTTAAAATACGTGGCGTACCGTGCGGGTCGACAATAGTTAATTTATTTTTTATCTGATTTAACATCATATTATGGTCAATGGATGTTCTTATCTTAGTGCCTTGGCCTCTCTAATGACACACATACGGATACACGCACCAAGTCCCTTCGACCTGATGCACTCTCAATCTTATTTTCTGTTCTAGACTTCTACACAAAGCAACAAGGGATCTAGGGATAGCAATGTAAAAAAAATCTGGTTCATAATTTCATCCTCTCCTTTTATTGTTTCATTTTGGATTTTTTTTTGCTACTTGTCTAGGTCTGTCTGCGAAGAGAAGAAGTAGAATCAATTTAATTGTAGAAAGATATTAAAGTTGCCTAAGAAGCTCCCAGCGAAGGCTTGGGATACCAAGCACTGCAAACTGGTATCAGTGGAGTATCTCTGTTTTGTCTATTCTACAGGAGTTAGACTTATATGTATATATTGTCATCTTAACAGCTACTCGTGTATGCAAAAGAAGACTGTACGATGTTAATCCTAACTAACGACGTATTCCCATCTAAAAAAGAGGTTTATAATTATTGCAAATACTTTTTAAAAAGGCTTTTTAAAAGGCTAATACACAAGGTAGATGATGAATAAAAGGCCCTTTCATTCACTATCTGCTGCTACTGCCTCCTGTTTTATTAAGTGACATCTTACTATTTAGCCGTTATTTAATATTATTCGATGAGTTTTCATATCCCAAGTGTATCATGGTCTAGACAAAACATTGAAATTTAATTATTATCCTATTGTTTTGCTTACTTGATTACACAAGTCATTCTTGTCAATATGTCCTAGTTTTTCAACAAAGATTACTAATTGGAAAACCCCTACACGCCCGTTTGACATATTTACATGCAATTTAATATATTCGCAGTCAGATCTTATATAATAGCTTTAAAGTCGGGGATAGCATAACAACAGGTACAGCGCTGGTGTGCAAAGAGATCAATCGTGGTCACTGTCATCGGCCGTCGAGATAACGCAAGATGAGCGATCGCGCGTCGACCTTATCGTTATCTCAAGTGGAAGGAATCTTAGGCGTCAGCCGGTAGCGAGTTGGCATTCGCACAGAAGCCTCAGCAGGCAGCACGCGACATCCTTGAGGCGACGGACGACGCGTGCGCATACAACACGCGGCCCATGCGCATCCTCCCGCTCAGTGTCGGACGTAGGGTGATGATGATACGTTAGTGATAATTGAAAGCGATATATCTCGTTAACGTGATCTCATATCGGACTTTTATTAGAAAGTGAAAAAGTGAAATTTACAAAATGGGTAAGTATTTTTATTAAAATAATATTACAAAATTTAGAAAGATTTTATCCGTTTCTTAAAAAAGTTATATTTAACAAATAACTCAATGTTAATAAAAAAAATCTAAACCACATTGATAGTTATTAATTTATTACGCAGGTGTCAACCAGTTGTCACATAATCTTGTGAAAAGTACAAAATGTTCACGTCAACGTCGTTCAAAGATATGTCGCGAAGTTGTAGTACAATACCCATTATAAAGACGTCGGCAACTCTTCACGTGTCTCAATCTCTTGCTGCACGCCTGTCACTCATTTGAGGCCATTAACTGTTCTCTATGACATTATCTTACAATACTTTACTTGCAAGCTGCTTTGTGCGGTGATAAATAGCTAAATTCATTATTTTTTTATTTTAGATTGACCATTTAAAATAACCACTAAAAGGACATTTTAATGAGGATATTGTTTTGAGTTTAAAGTTAATTAATATATTTAATTATGTTCTGTCTTTAGCAGTTCTATTAAGTTTTATTTATTGAGTTATAGCGAAAAGTAATGATAGATGGTATAGATGGTAATGATAGTATAGAAGTTATCACTTATACAGGAAAAAAATAACATGAAATATAATATTAATGTGTTAAGAAGAAGAAACCTCATGCGCTCTGATTAGTCTAATCTGGGCACCAAATTATATGTCAACGGTCTCTTGACTTCCCCTTTGTGATAATAATTATTTTCTAAATGATAACTATCAAAAATTTACATTTTTAAGTACCAATATAATTAAAAAGCAATATTGTTTTTTATATCATAAAAACGAACTTTGATTCATACACCAGTTAATTCTTCTGGTGAACTATTATTGTGATTTAGCCGTTAATAATATTAAGTAGATAATTTGCTTGCTAATGGGACAGGAGTAATTTGTTAATGTAAAAAAATATATCAAATCTGGTCACATATAACTTACCTTCAAACATAATTTAATATTTTCTAGTATTCAAGGAACATAATTCAATCTGTCGAAACGTTTTAAGTATTCGGATATTTCATTCAACTGAAGATCGCCTGGCGAATTTCGACAGTTTTGTATAATAATATCTTATTTTATTTCAATGACTAGTCTAACTTGATATGTTTTTGTAGACGTTTGTACCATTACTAAATAAATTATATACTGGACACCTACAGTTTCATTTATCCGTTTTTAGACAATCTTTAAAGTTATTGTTTAAAACTGTTAACCTTGTGCACTTTTTTTACATAAAATGTTAAGTATTCCAATTATGATATGCTTCCGTGGCGTCCGTCCAAAGAATTTTAAGACCTTTACAAATGTAGATTCTTCAATTAAATAAAAACTTAAGCTGCTTTAATATAAGGTTATAATTACACGACCTCCCAAAAAGGAAGTGTAATGTTTCTAGCTTTCATTTTAGTACCTATGTAAGTATGTACGCTTCTTTAATCTACCTTAACTTCTAAATGCCTTTACAGATTTAATTTAGTTTTCGCGCCATCTATACCTATATATAAACATGTTAACTTAGTTTGTATACGCTTCAAAAACTCAAAAAGTTCTGCACAAATTTTCACATAATATACAACATACGTAAAAGATGGTTTTCATCTACTTTTTGCAACCACAATGTGCCACAGCGAAGAGTCGCAGGGTTCAGCTAGTCGCACCAGGGACTTGCTTTCTAGGGTATACCTGGTTCCCCGGCTATTAGTACCCGAGACGGCGTGCGGTTTTAGTCGGTTCGTGTCCGACATGCCACCGACAAGGTGGTATCCGAGGGAATTTCCACACGGAAAAAAAAAAGGGTACAGCTAGTTAGCTGCCTATAATTTATTTTAAATCATTATAATTTGAAGCGCAGATATTTTACGTTATTCTATGCAGGCAGTTGTGTTTTTTTTTTAAATGAGCGTCTTTGTAAAGTCAGATGACTTTAATTTAGAATTTAGATAAATTTACAAATATTCTTAGCAGTTTATGAAAACATTTATTTCTCAGTTAAAGAATAGTCATAATTTGGATATCATTTCGTATTACGACTTAAGTTGTACGGTTTTACTGTTCCATCTTCCGTTAGTACATTTACTGTTACATAATAATATAACATGATATTAAGTAGTCCTATTCTATTCCTAAGAAGACAATTTCAAATAAAAAAAACACCAATCGAACCATAGACTAAATAGCACGTTTACACTAAAACACAACTAGGGGTATAGCAGTGATTTTTAATTTTAGTTTAATATAGTAAAGAAGAATAGTGATAGTCGATATAGTAAGAATAGCATCCGAATTTGGGTTGAATTCCCTCCATTATAAAACGTGTTCAAGAAGTCTCAATACAGAAACCCCTATGAACTTTCCATTTCCGATCTAAAATTGTTTACGAATTTACTATCTTTATTCTAATCTTCATATGACAGATCTACAGCGGCGAAACATGACACATGTTGCAAGTGTATATACCAAGACTCTTATCTTAAGTGTATATGAAATGAAATTACGGCAAAACCACTTCAGAATTACAGCAAAATAGACAAAAACCCGAGACAATAAACATATAATAGAAAAATATATGTATGAAACTATTGCTATTATGATTAACGATCCCGACTGCTAAGCAAAAAGTGGTGAGTTTGATTCTCTCCCAGGAAAATATTGTGTGATGAGCACTATCATTTGATCTATGTCTGGGTGTTTTTTCTTCCATTATATGTATGTATTTAGAAATATATAAGTATATTCATGAGACACATACATGCCTGGTTGACAGCAATAGGCTTCCCCTTCCTTATTACAAAATGTGGACGTTTAACACTCCTCCGCCTATCCCTTCGGAGATAAGGACGTCGTTGTATGTATGTAAAAATGTGTAGTTTTTTTTCTAATTTAAAATACTAAGTTATAAAGAACAAATGATACATACCAACATTTTATGGAGTATCTATGTTAAAAATGTTAAAAACAAAACGTGGACACTTATCCTTGCGGAATATACTTATGTGTATTTTGCCTGAATGTTCTACCTGGAGTAATATTTTATTAATTATGAAAAAGTAATTACATCAGTCCCGTACCTTCACCATATTATAAGTGTTCTTTCTCCCTAGTTCAGGGTTCATGTGCGGATGCACATATGACATAATTCTGTGCGTTTCTTTATTTCCAACTTAATTTCTAAGTACCTACCTGACTACATCATCCCAAGTGACAATGGCTATTGTTGTATTTTTACTAATTGATGAAGGCTTGTATTTTAGTTAATATTTTTCTTGAATTGTAAAGATTTTTAGAAGCAATTAAAACTATAAAATATGCATAATAAGTATCTGTCCTGAATTTAAACATGTGCTAAAGTAATTAATACGAATTGTAGCTACGCAGAATGTCCAACAAGAATTTTAACTAACTTGTACAACAATGATATGCAGTGTAGTTACATTATTTTATTTGAATTAGGTATTACAGTATTAAAAAATTTAAGCAATACTATTTACGTATAGAAAACCTCGGTAGGAATAATTTTGTGCAGTGAGGTTTTGTATAGAATTATATTTAATTTTTATTGTAATTCAAAAACAAGCTAAGCGCGGGTTAAACCCATATGAAGAGCAGAAGAGGGTTCCTCAAGATAAATAACAAATGCATTTTACGACCAGAGATCTTCCTATAATCTTATAGATTAATAAACTAACTGGGTCTTGTATTTTTTCAAACTCTTTAGACTCAAGGTTATTGGAGTTAAAGTGAGGGGGGTTGTCAATTGTTTTTCCTTAAGTAAATTAAAAACTAAATCGTTCAATAAAAAGTTTTCTTTTAGTGCGTTATAAAAAGATTAGGATTAATAACACAAATGTAAATGTCACTTTTAGTAAACTTATACCACATATAATGTGCTCTCTGTAACTCGACATTCTGTATTTTTTTACTCTTCAGGCTTGATAAATTAATCAGAGTATCAAGGATTAGGTTCTCAAGTTTGCCGGGCCGGTTTTATCTCCGACCGGACCGGGCCAGATATTCTGCCTTAGATACCGTTGCCACGTTGTCCTAAAGTCGTCCGTTTTGGCAATCAGGCTTACTTGATAATATATCTGTCTTTATATTTGACAATCATTTGAGAACGGCTTAATTTTATCTTTTTTTTTTTGTTCTGTCCGATAGCAAGTCCGATGTCTTTCAAAGTAGTTGAACTACTAGGTTCGCAGAGAATCTTTAAAGTATAATTTTCACTGTGCCTTAGCCTATTTTATTTATCACCGCTATAATTTGAATAGTTAAGCACTTTAATACTAAAATTTTATTAGTAAACTTTATAAATTAAATTACTAAAATTAGGTATTCTATCAAGCTCATAATAAAGACTTTACTTATGATTTCCAAATCTTACGATCTGTATTACATACCTGCCTAAGGCCCGTATTTCAAAAGGTCTCAGTCGTGAATCTAGTCTTAAAACTAATTTTAAGGATTTTATTATTGAACGTCACTTAAAACGAGATTCACTGATCCATACTCAAGTGAGTGATAGCTTATTTTAAAACGATGTTTATGTGGAAATCTTTACTCAGGTATAGGTTTTGAGAGCTGTGACCTTTGTTTACGTGAGACAACCTGAAACTAGTCTCAAGCGATGATTTCTAGGGCATTTTAGGGGAAATGAATGTGTTTTACGATGATTTGTTTCTGAATAATTACGAAAGATTTTTACTAAGAAACTTTACTTTATTAACGAAAGAATTACTTATCATACTGTAATGAATTCACTTTAATTTACACAACCTTTTGGTTCATGTTAAAAGTATAATATTATTTTAGGAAAAAAATTATTAGACATATAAAAATAAAAGCATTGTTGATAAATAACTTGAACGTTCCGTTATAGCCTATATCTAGTCATTTTTATTTTAAAATTTATTATATTTAATTTTGGACAAACAACCAGCTTAACATTAGCTACACTAGCCAAAAGTATAAGTACTATAAGTAAATAC